AACGTCCTGGCCTGCTGCTTTTCACTGGGACACGCTCACACCTGAGAACCTGCGCTGTACCACCTGGGCGCCTTGATTTCTTTTTGTTCAGGGCTCCTTTAATTGACTAGACAAATGCTGAGATTTACAACTCATAGGGTAATTACATAAAATTGAGAAGCATGGCCCAACCAGATAGTTTAGAGAGACACTATTCAGTGTATGGTGAGTCCCACTTTTGCTTTTCTCAAGCCATATTTAAAACTGGACTGTATGGAAAAGGATAAGTAAAAAGGATGAATGGAAAGGGTAGAAGCAGGGAAGAGGCAGGAGGAGCTCCCTTTCAACGAGGGGGTGAAAATGGGTGTGGATTATTGAAGGGAAAGCCAGCTGGCCTTATAGCCTTTCACCCTAAGCACAATAAAAAGGTGAAAAATAAGAATGCCTGTGCGTGACGCAGTGGCCTGCCACCCAGCCACCTGACTCCTAACCGATGCACTGGGATTCCACCTTGCCCCCTGCCCACACCCCTGGGGGGTTGCAGTGATTGGCCGGGGTGTGGGAAGCCCTGGAGCTGTGACTTTACCCACCAGAGAAGCCTTACAAGGGCTGCTTGTAAATGACAGTGTTAACCCAGATAAACAGGTCACAGGACAATCACCTTTCCTTTCCACTAGAAGGGCCCCAGCATCATCCCCACCTTCACACACACCCACACACACCCCGCCCCAGCCTGTGTTTGATCCTGGTTTCTTTTTTCGTTTATATTGGTTTGCTTACAAAGGCATTTGCATTGTTTCTTTCAGGTGCATTGTGTTTCACACATTCCTTCTTTCTCATTGTGTTTCGTAGGATGTTCTCATACACTGTGCTTTAGAAAATTACCCCCATTGATCTTTACCCACTATCCCTTGGTCTTTCCAGTCCCTATTAGATCTATTCCAATTTCTTCACCCTCTCCATGTGCCCACCAAACTCTGAGACCCGGTAACTCCCCCCATCTAGTCCTAGTTTCTTTTTCTAAACTCGATTGGTTGTGCCGACGCCCCGGTTCCTCTTTTCTCAGGCTGTGCGTCAGGGGTGGGCACACAGGTCAGGTGTGGGTGGGTGCTGGACCCTCTCCATCAGACCTCCAACCCACTGGCCCAGAAGCAGCCTGGCCTCTCCTGGCTCCCTCCACTCCCTGCTGCAGGGGTGGGGAGGAGAGATGGGAGCAGAGTCCACTAGAAGCAAGAGGCTAGAAGGAAGCAGCAGGGGCCCTGGTTTGGAGCCCAACTCCAGCAGGAAGGTGACTCAGCTCAAAGCCTGAGGGCTGGGGCACCAGGGATCCCAATTACGTGGGCTGTTTGGGTGTTTCCTTGCAATTAGAGAGTGTGAAGAGAGTAAGGGTCAGGGAGGGGGACACTGTTGGGGGTCCTAGGCTGGTGCCCTGAGAGCCTCTGGGATTGTCCCCTCCCTCCACTGGGCTGGGCCCTGACGGATGGGTTTGAAGGAAACTAGAAGCTCCGCCTGAGTGTGGGTGGCCGTCCGTCCATGTGCACTGTCTGGGGTGGGCCTGGCTCAGAGGTCCAGTGGGCACTGAGCCGGGGAGCAGCAGCCAGGCAGAACCTCTGGCGGGCTCTGGGCAAAGGGAAGGAGGTGGGTGAGGACACCTGGTGAGGTGTGGGGAGCCCAGGACAAAGGGACAGGTATTGTCCAGGTGGGGGCAGACCCTGAGATCCCCACTACATGGTCCCATTTCACACGAACACTAGTGTGGGGGTCTCTGACAGGGCTCCCACAGTGGTCCGATTTCCCAGAACCCTGTCCCTAACTAAGGCTGGGGGAGGAGGGAGAATAAAGAACTCCCTTCAGTGAACTGGTTGTTGGGTGGCAATCAACACTGGCACTTTGTTAAGGAAATAAAAAGTTAGTTTAAACTTCTGGAGAGCAGTTGGGGGCTATGTATGCATAGCAGGGCTACCTGTGCCTAGCATCTGATGCAGTACAGTAATGGCTGAGGGAGGAGGGGTGCTTATGCATGGGTTTCATTTTAAATAGGTTTACAGAATAACTGACATAAACAGTGCGTGTTTAAAGTTGAGAATTTCATCAGATTGTTTAATCTGTTAAACCATCTAAACCAGGATAATGAGCTTGTTTTCCACCCTCAGAAGTTTCCTGTGAAACTGCATCGTTTTCTTCTGAGTTCCCCCGCCTCCTCCTTCCAGCAGCCCTCCCCACTTTACTACTACTACGGGTCAAGTCTATCAGTTTGCTAGAATCACTCTTATGCATTCCTCCTAACTTTTGCCCCTTGACACAATTATTTTAAGACTCATCCCCATGGCAAAACACAGTGGGTTTTTTTTGTGTGTGTTGTTTTTAAAAATATAACTATTTTTAATAGCAATCGATTGGAAACCTACATATGTAGCAATTGGAATAATCGATAATAAGTGGTGGTTCTCCGCCAGGCAGTATTTCTCAGTCACCCAAAGATGAGTGAATCTGACCAGCTGGGGAATGGAAAGAACCTCGGGATTTAGTGAGGACTTAGTAGGACTCACAGTGACCCTATGAACAGTAGATCTGAACCCTGCCCTGTCCTGAGCCATCTCATCACTGACACACTCGAGCTCATTGCTGGAGCTGCTGAGTCAACCCATTCCGCTCAAGCTGTTAAGCACAGAACACAAAATGTAATGTGTAAGTTATGACCTCTTGTGTACACTTTTTAAAAAAGAGAATAAGGCATGCATTGTTGTTGTTGATTGCTGTCAAGTGGAGGTGAGGTCGACTCATAGTGACTCAATGAAAAAAAGACCTAATGCCTTTCCATAACTGTCATTGTTTCTCCAAGTTCATAGAGTTTCCAGAGGCTTGTGGTTTAGGAAGTGGATGCCACTCCTGCTTCCCAACCTGTTTTACAACTGGGAAACCATTAGGGTATTTGATACCCCAATAGCACAGGGTTCAGCACCACAGCGAACCCAGGTTACCTCATACAGCACATTGACAAGAGTGATGTGCAAAGTGGAAGAATGTTATGTTCTTCCAGATATAACAGCACTAGTCTCATTTAGCAGCGGTTAAGTGTGTGGAGTTGAACATGACTCAGAGTAAGCTTTGCACAAAAGTCTTGAACTCTGTTCTTTGATTATCATCATTTCCGTATATTTATAAGAGAGTTTGTAGAGTTTCCAGAGACATCTAGGTTAGAAAGTGGATGCACTCCTGCTTCCCAACATGAATCAATCTGTACTTCAAAAATGCATGCATAGCCCTGAAAATGCACCAAAAAGGCTGAAAAATAGTTTCTTTGAGGAGGAAGAGGAGAGAGATTTCTACTTTAAAATTTGGAGACCTTAGCTCTGGCTGCATCAAAACAGCGATGTCTATATTTATTATTTCAAAAGTGAGAAAATTGCTCAAAACACGGAGGAAAGCTGTTCGGTGATAATATAGGAACATTTGATAACTGCACTATTACTTTGAACTCAAAACACAAAAGACATATTTCATTTGGGATTTCTGGAAGGAAAGGGACCAGATCACTTGTCTCAGATAGTGGTATTTCACATAAATATCAACAATCTGGAATCCTGCTCTGTAATTGGCTGGATAGATTTGGTGAGACTAGAATCTCACCGAGGTCACTTTGGGTATGTTCCTCATCTTTGTTGCACTTCAGTATGCTCATGCATAGAACAGATTAACAAAAACTTGAGTTTCGATGAAATCATACATCTCAAGACCAGCCCTACATCTGAAAGGTTCATCGATTGTTTTTATTCAGATTTTGATTAGAAAATGGCTTAGATAATTAACCTAGACTTCTCTCACTAAGTAAAGCATGTTCAGTGTTGTGTCAAAGTTTGAATATAATAGAAAAGCTAGAAGTGACAATCTTCTTTTTGTCAGGCCCTGGACTATACACTTATTCCTGCTCTTTTTGTTTGTTGTGGTTGAATGGTGTCTCTACAATAGATCTGTTCTTTTCCTAGGTCCTAGCACTTGTGGACAAACTTGTTTGGAAATATCAAGAGTAAGAGTCTGGATATTTTATCTGTTAAAACAATTTGGACACCTGGCGAGAAGACAGGTAGTGCTGACGTCACTAGTGAGTGCACGTGTGCAGATTTAAAATGCGGAGACGGGCTGCGTGGGTGGGCGGCGGGCTGTGCACGCCCGCGGGTCCCCTCTGCACCGAGCGCGCCCTGCCCAGCGGGCTGACCACCCGCGGGGGCTCCGCGGACCCCACTCCGGCCGCACTGACCCGTGATCCCACGCGGCGGCCGGCAGGGGGCGTTCCCGGGCACTCGGCGCAGCCCGTTTGCGTCCCACGCGCACCGCCCGCCGCGCAGGCCCCGCCCCCTCCAGGCCCCCCCCCCTCCATCTGCCATTGGTCCTTCCTCCGCGCGTCAGGCCAATCGCCGCGCTTAGCGCCTGAATTCAAACCGGGCTTTAGATTCGAATCCGGGACGCGCGGGCGGGCTGGGAGGAAGCGGCGACTGGCTTCGTGGACCGGGCTGCGCGGGGGCAGCGGGTCACTCCCGCGGCGACGGCGGCCAGGAGGCGGCGGGCACGTGAGTGTCCATCTACCGGCGGGGGCGGCGGTGTCGGGGGCCGAGCGGCGGCGGCTGCGGTGTCCGGGGCTGGACAAGCCGACCTTACCGAGCTGTCCGGGACCGACCGTCCGGAGCTGTCCGGGACTGACCCATCGGAGCTGCCCGGGGCCGAGGCTCGTCCTGCAGAGCGGCGTCCACCTTCCCCCGTGCGGACGGCGGCCGTGAGCGTGGACGGCCAGTGCGGTCCGGAGCGTGTCCGGGGGTCGCGCCCAGGTCCCCGTGTGCTGGCCAGCGAGGGTCCTCGGAGGGGTCGTGGTTTGTTTCGGGGCGCGGTGATCGCAGCCCTGGGGTGGACTGGTCAGCGCGGGGTGGCCGCGCTCCGGGCTGCAGCTCCCCTTTTTGTGTCTTCTCAGCGAGAAGGTAGGTTCACCCCTCCCGGGCTCCGGGCACTGCAGCGACAGCCTTCGGAGCATGGAGCCCCCGGGCCGGCTGGTGGTCATCCGACGGACGGGGACCGACGGCAGCCACTACCCCCTGTGCCAGGACAGCTGCCTGTTTGGGAGGTAAGATCCTGCGGGCGGAGAGCCTAGAGAAAGGCCATCACTAGTGACAGCCCGCTGGGAGAGGGGCCCCAGCACCCCTCCTTCCTCCAGGGCAGCCCCACCGGAGCCCCAGAGCTTTTTAACAAACATTTATATTTATGGGAAGTGAAGCTTGTGCGGTTCCGTTTCCTGAACAGTCAGATGCAGAGGTTGCTGTGAGCTGGGGCCCGGGGGCAGCGGGAGGACACACCACCCTCAGGCCACTCGCCCATCGCTGCAGCCCCCTGTGCCAGCCCAGGTGCTCGAGGGTCTTTCTCCCCGTCGCTGACCCTCCTCTGCGATCCTGATGGGCTTCGGGCATTTGCCTGGACGGCAGCTGTGGACACAGGGGCCACGGGCTGCTGTGGGACAGTGGGATGACAGAAGCCGCGGACACGGGTCCGGACAGCCGCGTGTCCACCTGCTCGTGTGCTGAGAACGTTCCGTTCTGCTGCATCCCGTCTTGGTAGTGGTAGGGGCTTGATTGTCACTCTCGGCTTGTCATGCGGGAACTCTCACAGCTGCACAGTGTCACATGTCATGTCAATAGAACAACTGTCAAATCTGCATGATTTCCTGTGATCTCTTTAGCGTCCTGGAGGTAAAAGGTTACCCCTGCACAGAAGCCCTGTGCTCTCAGTGCTGAGATCTGATAGCATCGCCTACGCAAACACTTGAGGCCCTGCTGGCCCCGGGGGTTAAAGCCTGCAGCTGCATAAAGCCAGCTCCTAGGAAGATAGATGAAGCTTTGGAAAGCCCAGGGGCAGTGCTGCTCTGTCCTATGGGTTCACACGGGTCAGAACAAACAGGCTGGACGGCTTTGGTTTTTATCTTTGAAGTACAGCCCAGGCCCTGTGTCCTGGTTCACTGTACAGGCTGCTTCAGACCTGTGGTTCCTGTGTCATGAGGACATTCCCCAGGCTGCCTCTTGCTTTCCTGCGGGGAGAGGTTAACGGTTGCTGTCTCTTTGTAAGAACAGTCTCTGAAGTGTGCCTGCTTTGCAGGGCAGTCTGGTGTAGACTTGTCCCTGGGCAGTGGGGTTAACACCTGCTGTCCCTTTACTATTTTATTTTATTATTTTGTGTGTATCTGTGTACCATCAAATTGGATCTGACTGGAGATCGTCCCTACTTCTCCAACAGGGTATCTGGTGGATTCAAACCATGTACTTCTGGGATTGCACTAGGCCACCAGAGCTCCCTGTACTCTTATGTACACATGCTCGGTAGTGGAGTTTAGACCTGGTGTGTGCTTTTATAACTGCACTCTAAGAGCACACTGCCCATTCTCTGTGGGCAAGTGATAAGGTGGCCCTCCCTGTTTGGCCAGCCCCCCTTGCACGCACACCCAGCTTTAGGTGACATTATGACCAGTCACTGCTCTCCTACCTTCTTTCTGAACAGTTCCTTTGTTCTCAAGTTTCTGAATGTCACGTGAGAGGAAGGAAGTGTTTCCTGAGCACAGTTCTTGTTGTCAACTCACCCCATTGGTGTGACGTGCCTGCGGCTCCTCCCCACCAGGCAGAGCCTCGCCAGCGGGCCTGAGTGGTTACCTGTGCTCCGAGAAGGTCTGCTGGCTGCCTGTAGACACCCTGGTTAGGGAGCCGCAGGCAAACCTGCAGCTTGCCTGGGTCTGGCGTGACTGCCTGTTGACACTTGGATAGGGAAGCCCGATTAATGAGCCCACTCCTGGGTACCCAGGAGCACCGTTGAGGGCGTGCAAGCCTCCAGCTTGTCTGGGTCTGGCGGGGCTGCCTGTTGACACCCTGATTAGGGAAGCCCAGTTAGGGAGCCAGGGGTAGGTGCAAGCCTTTTGGGTACCCAGGTCTGGCGTGGCTGCCTGTTGAGGCCTGGTTACGGAAGCCTGATTAGGGAGCTCACTCCTGGGTGTCCAGGAGTGCCGTGGATGGGTACAAGCCTCCAGCTTGCGCGGGTCTGGCGTGGCTGTTGACACCCTGGTAAGGGAAGCCCCGTTAGGAAGCCACAGGCAGGTGCAAGCCTCCAGCGTGCCCGGGTCTGGCGTGGCCCTGTGCATTCCTGCAGGGCTTGCGAGAGCAGCGTTGAAGTGGTTTGAGGCCTTGCTTTGCACCATCTACAGGGCAAGGTTATAGAAATTTCAGACAGTGGAAAACAAATTTGGGTTTATAGTCAGTGTGTTGCAGTGGTTCTCCACCAATGCTTTTTGGACCCCAGGGGACATCTGGCAGTGTATAAGGAAGCCTTCTGCCCCAAACTCTCAGTTCTAGTAGACAAGTCTCCCTCACTAGCATTATCTGATACTGAAAATCAAAGTCTGTTCTTAGCCTTTAAAGTAGCTGTCCTCTTCTTGGAATTTTCCTCTCAACAGAAAGCAGACACACCTTTCGTCTCCAGTGGTGGGACTTTTGGTGCTGTGAGCAGTGGTTATGTCTATATCTAAGACTGACTAGTTTAGAAACGACTCTGCGTTGCATCGCCTGGCTTGCTCGGTGCTGCTGAGTGACCTTGAACCCAGCAGAGCCAAACCCTGCCAGGCCCTGTGCCAGCGCCCATTCAAGTAGCCCTGGCATCAGTGAGTTTTGTCTGGTTTTCCTCTCTTTCTCTGACCCTCCATCTTCTCCCACGAGGTCTTTTTCCAGGACTGTCCCCTCCTGACAAGCAGATGAGATGAGGCTTGGACCTCCTTGCCTCTCAGAAGCACCCTGGTTGTATGTCCTCCAGGACAGATTTTCTCGTTCTTTTGGCAGTTTGTGGGATGTGCAATACTCTTCTGCGGGACCAGTTCAGAGGCTCTTCATTATTCATGTTTACATACGTGTGGAAACAACTGGTTTGGGGCAGGCACACCTTAGTCTTTAAAGTAGCATCCTTGCTCTTCCACACTTTAGAGTTCCTTTACAGCAGATTGGCCCAGTGCTATGTATGGGAGATGAGACCCCACAGGCTTGTATTGAGAGTTAGAACCACTTGCTGACTGACCCCTCACACCCTATGTGTCTAAGTAGAACTTACTGCACAGAACTTTAAGGGATCAGTTTTCTTAAGTTACCAGGCCTTTCTTCTGAGGTGCCTCTGAGTGGATTTGAACCTCCAGACTATTGGTTTGCTGAACTGCTAATTATTTGCCCCTTCCAGAGACTCTGAAAAGTCCAGAAACATCGAATGGACTGAGGTGATGTCATTTGTTCAAACTTGGTTTACAGATAGCTTGGTTTACAGCAAGGTGCCACAGAGGCAGAACCATTCCAACAGCTGCATTGCTGCTGTGTGTGTCAGGCCGTCTCCTGGGGCTGGCTTCTTAGAAGGCAGGCCGGGTCTAAGCTCATGGGCTGATTGCACATCAGTAAGGAGAATGGGGAATTTTGAACCTGTCAGCTGCTGTGTGCACTTTAAAATAATGCACTGCTTATATGCACCGGGCATTCACTGTACCAGACAATCCCATGTGGGAGCCAGGACTCATGGAACAGGGAGCCTGTCAGTGAAGGGCTCCTCCATTAGTTCCTATGGGAATGGCAGTGGCCACACCTGGTCAAAGGTAGGGAACGGGAAGCTCGTGGGGTCCCAGTGGACACCTGCTCTTCAAACAAATGCTTCAGGCTAGTGCCAACCCTAGTCATGAGGAAACCACGGCACAGAGGGCGTCCCGTGCAAATCCAGTGTCGGTGGGAGCTGTTTAAACGCTGCAGCTGATGATTTAGAGAGCAGAAGGCAGGTACAGCATTTAAAAATTCAGTCCTTCTCGAAACTGGCATTTACGGCTCACTGGTATGGCTCCTTTATTTTGTTTAAGAAAGTACTTTATCTAAATATATAAACTAGTTGCTTAGAAAGTATGTGTAAAATTGCGAAATGTGCAGCTCATCTGCGTTGTCCTGCATGTTATCGCTTCGTCATTGTGAATGGAGATCGAGATCACTAGTCAGAGTAACTGTCTGCCTTCGCTGAGAGTAACCAGGGGAGCAGGGAGACGCAGGCACCAGTGACGGGGAAGGCAAGTCCCGCTCAGGTAGTTCTGGAGCCCAGCTTATGGGGACAGATGGACAGTGAGCCTGGTGACACCTGCCCTGGTGGCTGTTGTAAGTGGTCTCACGGAATTGTCCATTTGAAAATTGTTGACATGTCCAATGTGGTATAAGAATAATAAAAACACTAATCGAGTCATTTCATTCTGAGAATTTGAGGAAATGTTTTTTTAAAATCCCCATAAAACTAGACCTACTGCTATCTCTTATCGGGTTTCCGAGGCTAGAATTCTTTTCCAAGGGAGGGAGAAGGCGAGTGGATTCAAACCCATGTCACTCTGTGCTGTGTGTGCTCCTTAACTCCCGTACAAACCCCTGCGTCCTGTCCTCATCACAGGGGCATCGAGTGTGACATCCGCATCCAGCTCCCCGTGGTGTCCCAGCAGCACTGCAGGATTGATGTCCAGCAGAGCGAGGTCAGTGCCAGCCTGGCTGTGGCCCAGCCTGTATTCTGTCTGCAGGTCCCTGCTTCTAACCCAGGCCTCCCCCTTCTACTTGTAGGCACTGCTCCTTAACTTCAGTTCCACTAACCCGACAAAGCTGAATGGGGTCCCTGTCACCGAGCCGGTCAAGCTCAGGCATGGAGATATCATAACTATTATTGATCGGTCTTTCAGGTAAATAAGCGAACGGGGTATTCTAACGGACTGCAGTGGTCACACTGTCCACCGGGATTGGCCTCCAGGGTGGAATCCAGCCCAAGTGTCTCATTCTGTCCTTCACATTCTTTGGTCAGAAGAATTGTGAAGAAAAAAAAACAACAACATAGAACCTCTGTCATTTGTGACTCCCAGCAACCTTCTGTCCAGCTTCTGAGGCTGCAGATTTTAGGGGAAGCAGGGCGCCTCATCTTTCTCCCATGGAGTGGCTGCTGGACTCAAACCACTGACCGTTAAGTAGGCAACCTAACACTTAACAAATGCACTCAGCCACCAGGCTCTTTAGAAGAGCTCAAAAGTGAGGCTTATATGAGATCCAGAAGCAAAGGTTTGCTCACTCAGGACTCTGCCAAAGGCTGTCTGTGGGAACCTGTGCACTTTTTAGTTCCTTATTCAGAAGGAAGATACACACACGGAAGTCTCTCAGAGCAACATGCAACTTGAGTGTCGTGAGCCCAACAGCAGGAAGCGCCCCTTGGTGCATCTACTGAAGGGGCTTCCGCGGGTCCCCTCCTCAGTGGGGAATCCCTTGGTAACCACCGCCCCGAGCGCCCTCTAACTGCAGGTCCAGCCTCTCCGTCTCTGTAAGAGAGACCAGAGCACTTGGCCAGCTCCTTGCAGGTTTATGAGGTTCATTCCATGTTGGCAGAATTGCTGCTTTCCTCTTCTCAGTGCCAATGAATTCCACTGAAATCTTATATAGAATCGTTGACAGTGTTTTTTCTTCTGGATTTTGACTGCAGTGGTTTGGAGCACGTTACAGTTTGCTTTATGACCAGCTGTGGTGTGGATTTTATGTCTTCTCTCTCTTTGCACAGAATGCATTTTCTGGTTATTGGACTTGATCTCTGACATGTACGTCCACTAGATGAAACCTATGTGACCTTTTCCACTGCTCACTATTTTTCCTGAGAGCTATGTTTTATGTCTTATTTTGGTTTTAGTGATCTCTTATTTAATCCCCCTGGGCGTATGGATGTCTGTAAGTTCACTGACGGAACTACAGCTGTGTGTGCTAGAGCCTTGCTGGTCCAAGCTGCCCAGCTGCCCGCTGCAGAAATATATCCAGGGTGCAGACGGAGCAGTCTCTATCTGTCCATGCATCCTCTACACTGAGGCTCGTTAGGCTCCAGAGATTCCGAACTGCCTCGTAGCTGATGCTTCAGTGTGTTTTCAGAGGCTCAGTGAGCTTCACAGGAGGAGATTGCCCGTCTTTCTCCCTCAGAATAGCTGGTGGGTTTGAGTTGCCAGAGGAGCCACCTTGGATTAACACTCCAGCTCCTTACTAGGCCGCCACTGTGACGTGGGCGGGACTTGAATGTGACCCGCTTGCACCTTCAGCCACGCCCTGCCCTTCCTTGTCACGTGGGCTGGACGGCTCCCGCTTCTTCACCGGGGAGATCCTCACCTGCAGGATAGACCTCACTGCCTGTAGTTCTTACCCAGCCTGGATCATTTTTTGCAGAGTTATGAACACAACAAAAGCACTTTCCCTACACTGCATTCCTCCCCAGAAATTCACATGTGTCTTCAACCTCATTTAAGGTGTTCCCAAAGAAACTGGGGTGGTGGGTCCAAGTTCTTGTCTCCTCTGAAGGTTGGTCCATTAACCAGCATTACCTGGGGCAGTTTCTCCCTCTGTGCCTGGGTCCCTGCACATTAGCCAGAAATGGTAGCTTTTCCAGGACTCTGCCAGGTTTTGATCTGCATCTCTGTCTGGTGTACTGCAGGTTTGAATCTGGAGGAAGCAACTCGTCTGAAGATGAGCAGAGCGAGGAGGTGAGATCAAAGTTCTTATGCAAGAACAGGGAGCACCGTTCATAGGCGCACTGGCCCTGTGCCCGGCCCCTGGGCACTGAGGCTGCAGGGTGGTGGGCAGCACTCATCTTGCTCCGGTCTTCACTTGTAAGCTCTCAGAAGATGCACAGGCTAACTGGAGCCCAACCCTCTGAACCGGGCCCACGGCCACTAACTCACAGCCTGACCAAGAACAAACGCACCCGTGTGGGACACTAACAGGAAACGAGGATAGGTGCTGCTCAGCTGAAGCTGGTCCTCCCTTCATGGACTGGTAAACGTGTCTAAGGGAGTCTTAAAATCCCAGTGAAGCTTGAGTTTAATTTGAAGGCTCAGGCGTGTTTTTAAAATCATTTACTGTGTTTTCAGTGCCAGTTAATGAATGCTTGTGCTGTGAGCACTGGCACCTGTATGTCTTAGGCTTATTTGTGAAGCTCATGTCTCTAACACTGACCCAGGAACAGCTGTAACAAAGACTGTCAGGAAGCACACACTTGTGGTTGTCACGGTCTGTGCTCACAGGCACTGAAATCGCTGCTCTTGTTTGACCAATTGACAGGAGTCACAGCGGAGTCAAGATGAAGCTGCCGCCGGCCCCACAAGACTTTCTTCTGGAACGAGAACAAGCGTGCCAACAGGGGCACCTCTGTCCACAGAGCCGGGTCTGCTCCCACAGAGCTTTCCTGCCCGAGTGCTTTCCCAGATGGAAAGAAAAAGTCCGACTACTCCTCCGAGGAAGCCCAGGATGAGCCTCGGCTGCCAGGACATCGGCTCGTCTCACCCAGGCGGCCTCGCTCAGGTCACGTCAGCTGCCAGTGAGTGCACTGAACCACGAGGCTCCTTGCTGTTGAGTTGGAAGCAACTCATACCTGATGCTCCACTGGGCTTCTGAGGCTGAAAACTGCTTGGGAGGAGACTGCCCACCTTCCTCCCAGGGAGCCACTGGTGGATTCGAACCGCCAGAGACGTGTGGCTCCTGGGTTTGCAGAGCCACCACTGTGCACCATGCCACCAGAGCTCCCTTACACATCAGTGATTGCAGCCTTGTGCCCATGTAGCTTGTGTCAGTTCTTGGAGGGGCTTCATTCCTCTACTCAGGATCTAAGTGGCAGGCGCTGTACCAGGCTCTGACCGTCTACCAGAGCTGAGAGCACCCCGGACAGCAGGGGCCACGGGCATGCAGAGACATGATCACTGTGTTCACAGGCAGATCTGAGAGCACCTGCAGCAGGTGACAGCGGGCCTCCAGGGAGATGTCAGCTGCTGTTGCTCAGCCTCATGGTGACTTTGAGAGCAGTGGAGTAGAATGCAGCCTCGGCAGGCCTGGTTGTGAACCTGACTACTGCTTCCGTAGACCAGCTGTCAGCGTTGGTCACCAGACCTTCCTCCTTAGTCTCTCTTTAGTCTAGGAGCTTTGCTAAGGCTGGTTCAGCATCCTAGAAACATAATCCTCCACTAGCAGAGGAATGGTGGCCACATGAGGAGAAATGGCCCTGAATCGAACCCTGGTCTCTTGCACAGAAGGAATGAGTTCTATCACTAAACCAGGCAAAATGTTAGACTCTTATTCCATGTACAACCAAGTGGAAGGAGAGTAAGCACGAGTGCACATCTGAGGGGCTTTCATTGCAGACACTACAGCCTATGGGTGAAGTCACGGGTCCCTGGGTGAGGGACCTCGATGCGATCACTTTCCCCCAGCAGTGCCCTCAGGAACACCCCCATTAGTTTGTCCTCAGGCTCCATGAATGCCTGCAGCTACTGTAGCTTCATCAGCATCACAGGAGAATGGCTGAGTGCTGTGGAATTTCTATTTCAGTACAGTTTAAACTGACGAATCCTTGAGCTCATGCCGGGGCTACCAGTGCAAAGGGAGCCAGTTCACATCATCAGTTTTTCCACAGGGGAAAGATGGGCCATCAACTCCCGTGCAGTGTACTGCCTCTGAGAACCTGCCAGAGGGTCAGCTGTGAGATGGCTCCATCTCTGGTACACAACAGTCATTAAGAATAATTGAAAAAATCCAAACCTAATCTGTGTAACATGATTTGCCTGATAGTCAACATATGAGTTACTAATGTGATAGATTATTTCAAAACAACATTGTTGTAAAATGTATAAAACCAAATGTTTACCTTTTTAACCATTTTCAGAAGTGCAGCTGGGGGTGCTACCACCCAGCTGTCCTTCATATCTGACCTCAGGTGCATTTACCGCTTTCTCATTGCCTTTCCTATCTTTCCCTTCATCATCTCAGGCGAAAAGAATGAAGAGTCATTCAAGAGACGCAGGGTCTCCTTTGGTGGTCGCCTCAGACCTGAGCTCTTTGATGAGAATCTGCCCCCCAACACGCCTCTCAAGAAGGGAGAGATTCCTGGAAAGCGGAAGTCTCTTGGGACCCCCGCACCAACCGTGCTGAAGAAGGTCACGCAGGTGAGCTCACACTTGCACTCACACGTGGCAACGTGGTCTTGCCAGACCCCTGACATGAGTAGAGTTACAATAATTAAACAGAAGAGGAAATCTATACACAAGCTCCTCGAACTGGGTGCTGGGAAACCAAAACCTGGGTTCTCAGGCACAGTTCTGATGCTGCGCTGTGTGTTCTGTTAGCAACCAGCCACCCGTGTGGGGTCAGTTACCCTGTGAGTACAGCAGGTCACATACATAAGCTTAGCTTTGCGAGCAAGTGTTGCATTAAGCGCCAAGTGACCACTGGGTGACGGGAACTCTGGATGACAGCATGTTCAGTTAAGCCATCAGCTGCTCAGAACTGACCATCCAAACTCTAGGCAATACTGTCTTGACTTCAACTCACTGCTCTCAAGTCAGAACTGACTCATAATTGTCTCTTAATAGAGTTTCTGAAGCTGTAAATCACACAGGAGGTGACTGCCCACCTGTCTCCCTTGTAGCTGCTGGTGGATTTGAACTTCCAGAGGAACTCTGGTTCAGCAGCACGATTTCCTAGGCTCTGTCACCAGGAGTCCCTCTTAGCTGCATGTAAAGCGGAGGTGCAGCCGCCAATGTCTGCTCCAGGAGCAATGCTGAGGGACAGGCAGCACCCACCATACACAGCAGCTTAAGGATGGAACAGCGTTCCTTCCATATGACAAGGGGCCTGACCTCATAGACGGAACTCCATCCCACTGAGGCCAGAGCCCCTCACTCACTCACTGGCAGTTCCTCCCTGAAAGCCCACATTAGAACTTGCTGGCTACTTCATCTTTTCCTGAAGAACCCCTCTAACTTAAAGCCTGGCTGATATCTGGGCGGCTCCCAGACCTGAGGAGCTGCCATCCACCATCATTTCCGTTTGCAGCATTCAGAGTAGAGACCAATGATATGTGCTTGGTAAAGTAAGTCACAAAACCTTTCAGATGGGTCAGGAAGAGTCTCCAAAACCAAGGAAAGAACACACTTCCTCCGGCATCCTTCCAGAAGCAAAGGCAGCATCAGCCTCTGAGAGCAGCAAGTCTCACCAGCATGCCACCCCCAGGAGGAGGAGCCACAAAGGATCCTCCAGGAGGAAGTCTGTTGATAAAAACACGCTGCAGATCATCTACCCCAAAAGGAGGAGTAGCACTTCCAGAGCCAGGCTGCCTGGTGAGAGACACATGGTCGTTGGTGTGGGCACATTCCCATCTGGGCTAGTTTCCGAAATATTTCACAATGCTTTCTTCTTGACAGGTGGCAAGTCATGGGCAGAGATAGTAAAAATGGGAACGAAAAAAACCCAGATTAAAAATGTAAAGCAAGACCCTCAAAGACACCTAAGTAAGAGACAAAGACGGAATGCAACTCCGCAGGTACGAGGCTCCCCTCTGTTCTGCTCTTCCTTGTTAATACTGCTCTTCATCTGTTGTGCTAGTGGATTTCTGTTTTAAAATGTCATCAGTTTCTCATTTTTCCCCACAGAAGCCTGTGGATCATGTTGAAAATCCCTTCAGCACAGGCCATGCCAACTCTCCCTTCAGCACAGGCCATGCCAACTCTCCCCGAACCATAGTAATAGGGCGAGCCCATGTGGACAGAGTCAGCGTGCCTGCGCGTCCTTACCGAATGTTAAACAACTTCATTTTGAACCAGAAAGTGAACTTCCCTGAAGACTTCTCAGGTAAGAAAGGAGCCCCTCCACCTCACATATCTCAATGGGCCTTGTACTTCTGCTTTGCATGGGCGGGTACCATACTGCATCATCTGCTGTGAGGGGAGATAAAATCATTGATCTACTTTTTTGGGGTCACAGTTTTAGTCAAGGCAGAGAAAGTTGACTTGGAGTACCCCAAGTCCACACATTCTTGGGGTCATTTGTCCCACATGAAGCAGGAATGAGATGGGCCAGTGCAGGCCTAAGGCTCAGTGGGCGGCACTTTTCTAAAAACAGGACACTGTTCATATTCATGGTGAAATGAATTGACTTCAGAACGCATTGTTCCCCTGAGATACGTCCCACAGATGGAGCCGTGTCCTCTGAGTCCCATGTGGTTTCAAGGCTGCTGTCCTCCAGAGCTTGGGTGTGTCGAGACAGAGCTCGGGAGACGCTTCCTCAGTGGTTGAACCCACCCTGCCCTGGTAGTTCCACTCTAGGGACAGTGTGCAGGCTGATGATGGCTCTGGATCAGAACAGTGGCCCTTTAGCAGACATAGCTTCTCTATTCCACCTCCTGATTTCCACCGTGAAAATACTCGGGGGTGAGAGGACAGAAGCAGTGGGGTGGAATCCTGTCTGCCCCTTCCTGGCACATCGTCAGCAGGAGGGGGAATGGTCATGCAAGTGGCCCTTCAAGTACACGTACATTTGTTTGAGTAAATGCATCTCTAAAGATGCCCAGAAATCTTGTTACCATCTATCACTTAAAAACCCTGATTCTGAACCATGTAATGTATAGGTATATGCTTATACATCTGCATATATATTTACGTTCATTTTTATAAAAGATGTTCATCTTTATAGTGCTATATTTTAGAAAGCATTAAAGTTTTAGGAAATAAGGAAGAAGTTCAGCCACTCGATGTGTAAGACTGGGTTTGTCTCAAGCATGTCTTACTGAAAAACCCTTCAAAGAGTCAGGATTCTTTACCCAATGGGGTGTGTACCCTTCATTGTATAAATCAGTGTCTGCTAAAGTAGACTGCTGGCCCCCTTAAGGCAGGCCCGAATGCCAGCTGATGGGAGGGAGTTGTACATTAATGTCTAGTTTCAGTGAAAACCTTCCACATGAATGTTAAGTGAACTCCCACTCGAGTGAGCCCTCCTTGGGTTATAACCACATTCCCAGGTTATAGGAGAGGACCTCTCATCTCGCGTGAGGAGCTGCGTGTAGGTTCAGATCACTGATGCGTTGGTGAGCTGCCTGGCCTCTAAGGCATTACACGACTGGGGGGTCCTTAAAATTGAGCTGCCCTGATCAGGGTCTAAAGTCTAAGACCATTTATTTGTGCATATAATGCAGAATTGTGGGCCCCACTACTGTTAGAAGCTACAAGAAGGATTGGAAGCCTTGAGTTGGGGAAGGGCAGCACCAGTGACCACAGTTGTGTTTCTGGTACTTGAGTTCTGTACTGGGTTGGACAGATAGCTACACACCTCAATTCCCTTCCTTTGGTTTCCAAGAGGAATTAGGTTTGTCTTAGCTCCCATTCCAAAAATATGAGTCCTATTAGCTAAGTCCCCAGGTTATGAATTTCCAACTTTGAGACAAGTTGACTTGCCTATTAATGGTCTATACATTGGCTCTCACCTTGAAAGGATTGAACCAACCTCTGTGTACAGTTTTACATCATAATTGTTTTCACTTATTGCTCATGCAGCTTTTAAATAACTGAAAACTTGAAGTCTTTTCTGTCACTAAAGTCAGGCAAAGTAAGAAGCACATGCACTTGTCTCAACGTATCTGAAATGGACTTAGAGACACACTTGGAAGTAGATCTGCTCATAGCCTGGTGTCTGCCTGTAGAGGACTGCAGGGTCTCCTCAAGGGCCTGTCTTCAGGGTTTCATTTCTATCATTGGATGCCCTGACGGTTCAGGTGGTTGCCCGCCTTTACAAGTATGTTGTTAAATGACATGTTCCCTCCAACTCCTAGCACAGACCTGAGCTTTGCCCTCTTCTGTGCCGTCCTGACGATCTTCGCACGCTCAAGTCCACTGTCACAGCCACTGTTTGAACCCGTTGAGGCTTCCTCTCTGTTGCTGACCCTCCTCCTTTCCCAGCATGATGTCTTTCCAATGACTGGCCTTTCTGACAACATGATGTGAGACCAAGTTTCATCATCCTCACCTCTAAGAAGCGCCCTGGTTGCACTTCTGTCTGAGGTGAAGTTTCACCATCCCGGCCTCTAAGGAGAGCCCTGGTTGCACTTCCTCCAAGACCAACTTGGTCTTTGGCAGTCTGTGAAATTCAGTACACTTCTACAATACCTTAACTCAAAGGAACCCTTTTCCTTCTGTCGTCCTTATTTGTTGTTATCTGACTTCCAGATTGATACAAAGCAATTAAAAAGACCATGTCTTATGTTTGATGGACTTTAGTCTTGAAGGTGGTTTTCTCTAAGTTTATGTTGTTGGTCTTTAGCACTTTGGAGAGGTCTTGAGAGCAGATTTTTCCAATGCAACACATCATCTTTGGATTTCTTGATGATTCCTGCCATGGATGTTTGTGGGTCAAACAGAAATGAAATAATTGACATCAGTCTTTTCTCCATTTATCATGAGGTTGCCTGTTGGTGTAAGGATATGCTGATTGTATTTCCATTGTTTGCATATTACAGGACTGGCAGAAATGTTCACAACTCCTGGGAAAGAAAAGCTGCAGAGAACCAGCCTGTGTCCTGATGCTACCAAAAGTTCAGAGGCAGAGTTTGAAGACGCAGAGTTGGGGAAAATGCCTGAGACTTCGGGTTGGTTTGCCTTTTTGTATCTTTCCTGCCACAGTGATTGATGTCTCTTAGTAAGAATTTAAGAGTAGTATTCTTTTCAAACAATGAAATTATTTTTCTACTACAGATGGGCTGGATAAAGTACTTCCAACCAGAAAAAAGGAAGAGATTGAAGATGTCTCTCAAAACTGCTCCGAAGAGAAGCCAGAACTGAGCACAATGATGGCAGCCGTGAAGATGGGGCTGAGAGCACCCAGCCCAAGCTCAGAACTCGAGGACAACGTGGTGAGCTCAAAAGCTCCAAAGTCAACCCCGGGATCACGGCAAAAATCAAGAGCTAGCTCAGTCCCTAGAGAAATTCCCGCAACTCCAAAACTCGCATCCGAGTCAGCAGCATCCCCGGGGGTGCCCCAGCATCTTCTGAGAGACACTAATCAAAGGCCACAGGTCGTGAAAGACTTGCCTGGAGTCAGTGATGGTGTCCCTACACCAAAACAACTTGAGAAGTCAGTATGTGAGGAAGAAGTCCACAGAACAATCCAGAAAACCCCAAAACAGACATTCAAGTTGGAGAGGTCTCCAAGAAGGTCCTTGAAATTGCTGAGAAGCCTTTCTGCAAGTCCAGAGGTCAGCAAAGACCTGGCTGGAATGAATGATGGTGTGCCTACACCAGAAGAGTCAGTGATTGATGAAGAAGTCTGCCAGATAGTACAGACAACTCCAGACCACACCCTCAATACAGGAAGAACCCTAAGAAAGTCCCTGAGACTGCTGAGAGACCTTGGTGCAAGTCCTAAAGACATGGACGAGCTGTCTGCTATGTCAGCACCAGAGTCTCTCCAGAAGTCAGGCAGTAATGAAGCTCACAGAGAGATTCTGAAAACTCCACAGTCAGGACGACGTCCACAAGTTCAGGAAAGCCTCATTGCAAGCCCAGAGCTGGTACAAGACCTGGCCAGCCCGAAGGGTCAGTCATTACA